CTCACAGGAAAACATTTTCTCTTAATATCACCTATAGCCTGTCTATACATTAGGTCCTTGCTTTGATAGAAGCAATATGTTTTGGAAGCTTCATTATAGACAACAGTTGAAATGTAATTATTTATAGTTACCACTTCAAAGTACTCTCTACCCCCCCAAGTATTTAGTTACCATTATACAATATTCTAGCTACTTAGAAAAACATCAGAAAGCTACAAGCTGTTGGTCCATAGTATGAAACTAGAGAGGCGCTGTAAGCAGGTTCGGGATTTACCTTAGGTCAGGAAACAGGAGTAAATTACCCCAAATGGGATAAAAATGAAAATCCTGGGGGGTAAGGAGGACGCAACCCTAACCCCCTTCCCTCCTCCTCTTCCTCTTGCCTGGAGGGAGGGGTTCCCGGCTGCCCAATCACCCCCTTCCTACCCCCTTCTCTGACCTGGCTGCAACCAAGCCACGGCAAATGGGATGGCGGTGGCCCCCTGCCGGCAGCATAGGGCAGCCGAGGGGGCAGGGGCGGCCATGGTGGAGGGCGAGGCCAGGGCGAGTGCCCCGGCCAGGAGGAGCCTCTCCTTCCACTTCCTGGAGAGGTGGATCGCAGCGGAAGGGGGTGGCCCAGGCCAGACTCAGCCTCCCGGTGCCAGGAAACAGGAGTAAATTACCCCAAATGGGATAAAAATGAAAATCCTGGGGGTAAGGAGGACGCAACCCTAACCCCCTTCCCTCCTCCTCCTCTTCCTCTTCCTCTTGCCAGGAGGAGGGGGCGGCCACCCAGGTACAGGTAGCTAGGCTTCGGTGGCGGCACTTGACTGGCCGCACGTGACCGAGATCCCTCCTTTCAAATCAGGGGGGTAATGTCAGGGTATATAAACTTTTTGGAGGGTAAAAGGTAAAAAAGTTCCCTGGCCCCTGTCTTAGGCTGTTCCTCCTCTGGCAACACAAATAAAGAGTCAGAATTATTAATAAAAGAACCTTTATTAACACAACATGCTGTTTCTTCTTTATTTAACTCTATAGAACTATGTAACATTAACTGGGGTGGGGAACTATCCCAAAACCACATGAGAGATCTTTCATTGCCAGTGTCTTTTAATAATAGCTTTTTGCCAACTTCTCCTGCTCGGTCGGTCGTCTCAAATACCCGCTGAGGACCGTTAGCTTCTCTCTCAGCATTGCTGGATCAATCTGGTGTACCTGCCATTCAGGACCCCGTCCCTTGGGGTAAACCAAGACTGTCCATTCTTCTGGACTCATGCCAGATATTATGGGTCTCACTTTATCTTTAACAGAACCTTCTTCTTCAGTTACACTGGTTGCAGTTATTTTCCTAGGCACTGAAAAGACTTGTAAACCTTTATCTAACTTCTTCGTAATGGTTGCTTTAAACACTCTCCTCAAGCTCTACTCTCTGAGGATGGTCCTCCAAGAAGGATTGGAGCCGGCAAATGCCAGGCCACTGATTCCCAACTTGGAGAGCCTCCCCAGGAGGATACAGTGGTCAACGGTATCGAAGGCGGCCAAAATATCGAGGAGGACCAGCAAGGACATTTTGCCTGTCAGCCTCCCTCAACAGGTCATCCAACAGTGTGACCAGTGCTGTTTCTGTGCCGTGGCGTGAAGCCCGACTGGAACAGATCCAGCGCATTGGTTTCACCCAAAAGAGCCCGAAGCTCATCAGCCACCACCCTCTCCACCACTTCAAAGACCATTCTTGCATGTAGTACTAGTGAGACAAATATCCTCCATCTTGTAACTGCACTTGTTGTTTCTCTTAGGTTTAGAACCTTGTACTTATCCATTAAATTTCCTTTTGTTGTTTTTAGCCCAGTACCTGAGCTTTGAAGATGTCTTTGAAATTTGTTTATCTTCCAGGGTATTAGCTATCCCATCCAATTTTGTGTCATTTGCAAATCTGATAAGCATTCCCTGCATATACTCATCCAAGTTAATAAAAGTATTGAATATGTGTATGCGATGTTTATCTTTGACAGCCCATCTCCAATCTTGGAAGTGAAATGGGCTGGAAGAAAAAAATTTCAAGCAACAAAATGCAAAGAGCTAAGAGAGTTTTGTTCCTGTTGCCTGTGTACCTCTTCTTACATGTTTATGCCACTCTTCTTTAAAGTTGTTCAGAGAAATGTTGTTTAGTTGTTAAGTCATGTCTGACTCTTTGTGACCCCATGGACCAGAGCACACCAGGCCTTCCTGTCTTCCACTGCCTCCCAGAGTTAGGTCAAATTCATATTGATAGCTTCAATGACACTGTCCAGCCATCTTGTCCTCTGTCGTCCCCTTCTCCTCTTGCCTTCACACTTTCCCAACATTAGGGTGTTTTCCAGGGAGTCTTCTCTTCTTATGAGATGGCCAAAGTACTGAAGTATGTCAAAGCCCTGGTTCATCTCTGGAAAGGGAAAATGGCCAGGCTGCTGCACATGACTGCTTCTCAATATCTATTTCTACAAATCTTAGCCAAACTAGCCCTTTAAGCTTCAAGGAAGTTATGCGTGATTAAACAAGTAAATCAACTTCACTTGTTTCTAGTCTGTTTCCAGGCCCAATTCAAAATGCCAGTTGTGACCAAGAAAGTCCCAGGAGGCTCGAGTCCAACCTATTTGAAAGATTGTATCTCCTTACATGAGTCCACCTGGATTATGAGAGACCCTGATCTCAAACATGCTGCCCAGAGGCACATCTGGGGGCGATGTAAAAGAGTGGTTGCTCCACAGCTGTGGGATGCTCTTCCTTGGGAGGCCATGTTGCCTCCAACTTCATCCTTCAGGCAACAGGCAAATAGCTCCCATTTTAAGCTGGCTTTGATCAGCTGGATACAATTTTATTGTAAGACACTGTACTTTTTTTGCTTCTCGTATTTTTGACTGTACTAGTTCATAACTGTTTGTGAACTCTCGTGGTCATCTATAATGGGAAAAGTAGCACATAAATAAAATAAATAAATGCACAACAACCCCATGCCCTTTTAGATTTATTACATCCACCTCTCTGCTAAAGAAACAACACTTAGGGTAGCTAACAGCTTCACTAAAAACAAATTAAATAACAAAACCATTAACATCAATATAAATTATACAATAGAAGCATCAAATTATACAATAAGCACATCAAAATTATCAACAGATATGAAGGGGGAAGTACATAAACAAGTGTTCCTACCTTCAAACATGTAGCCTGGCCTAAAAGAGCACCTAAATCAAATAAACATTTTAAATGTTTTATACCACTTACATTTATTTCAATGAATCTCAAGGCAGTATCACAAAATTCAATAATACCAAGTAATAAAGCAATGATTCACAAAATATTTTGTTAAAACAAAACGGAGTAATAAGACAAGCAATTAGGAAAGCACCCAAGAATCTTCAGTTGACAATGTAAATGCTCCATATTCCAACTCCACACACCTATGGGACAAAGCAATGCCACTAGAAACTGTCTTGTCACCTTCAGCAACCTTCTCTTGCAGACATCCCTCACACAACACCTGCCGCAAGCACCCCCCCCAGAAGTCCAGACACACTGGATTCTGGCCTGCACACCCACCCCTGTGCTTGTCTGGTCCTTGGGATCTTGTGTCATTAATTGCCCTGGGTCAGCTGTTTCTATTCATAGCTAGGGACCTGTTTTCTTTCTCCCCCTTGAAGTGGCATTTTGTCTACAGCCTGTCTTAAAGGGGCCTTCATCCTGCTGCACTCAGAACAGGACTTGTGACAGAAAGCAAAATAATGAATTGCAAGGGAAGAAAATGCCATGCAAAAATGTATGAGAAACTAGTGCTGGAGTAAGAGATATGCAAAATGAGTATGAACTGGAACAGAGCTCTACTCCTCTCATTCACATGCAACATTATAAAACATGTATGACTACTAGATTATGCTTCCTCCATTCAAGGGTAGCTGCCATATTGGTTTTATATGGCCATCAATTTTTTTCATGTGATTTACTGACATACTGCACACCTGCTATGTTCCTCTTTGCTATTCATCTTATCTCTATCCTTAAAAGCCGTAAACACTTTTTAAGAAACAAAGTACAGTAGAAGTTGGAAAAAGAGGAAGGAGATATGAGCTGAGTTCAAATCCCTGCCAAAGTCCAGCCACCAAGTTTCTTGGATGATGCCTGACCCTCTTATAGCCTAGCCTCACTCCCAGGGATGCTCTGAGGCCAAAGGGAAGAGGGAACCACACAAACCCAGCCCAAGAAACTATTGCAAGACCTAAGTGCGCTCCCAGGGATGCTCTGAGGCCAAAGGGAACCACACAAACCAAGCCCAAGAAACTATTGCAAGAGGAACAAGACCTAAGTGCGATTAAGTGAGGTTTTAAAGAAACAAATTAACACAGGACAAAACAAATTAAGTGAGATTTTAAAGAAACAAATTAACACAGAGGGTAAAGGGATCTAAATAAAGCTACAGAGGAATGAGGCACAAAAGATAAGGGAGGAGGGGAAAGGGAACAGAGAGACCACACGGAAAAACAACTGGGGTGTGCTGCATATTACAGAGAATAAATTACACCACATCTGACAGTGTCATATGACAGGTAGCCACACTTAAGTGAGATTTTAAAGAAACAAATTAACACAGAGGGTAAAGGGATCTAAATAAAGCTACAGAGGAATGAGGCACAAAAGATAAGGGAGGAGGGGAAAGGGAACAGAGAGACCACACGGAAAAACAACTGGGGTGTGCTGCATATTACAGAGAATAAATTACACCACATCTGACAGTGTCATATGACAGGTAGCCACACAGGATTGCTGCCTTCACATATTACTGTGTCGGAGAAAAAAAGATTTTGACAGCTAGGATAGGATACGGATGCCAACTTTTCAACATGCGGCTGCTCCTATGCTCTGATCAGCCGCAAACACCCAGCTCCGATTGGCCAGCTCTTCAGAGCCGCCGCAGCCGGGGCGGTCGGGAAAGTTGGCAGCCCAGCGGTCCTCGCCTCTCACCGGCCGCCTCCCCCCCTCCAACGCACCTGGCACCTGCAGACGATGTCGGCGTCGGTGGCCAAGAGATCCACCACTTTGCCTTTGCCTTCGTCCCCCCACTGAGCGCCCAGCACCACCGTCACTCGGTTGCCGCCCGGCTCGCTCCGCATCCGCTTCAGACCGCCGGCAGCCGCTACAGGGGGGTTCTGGTGAAGAGCTCGGTCGTTGGAGGCAGCAACGGCCGCAGCTGCCGCCGCGGCTGCTGCTCGGGTACCGGACATGGTGGCGACGGCTGGGGGGGAACAAGCCTTCCCTGAGGGAACGGCGAACCGGCAGCCGCTAAGCTTCTCAAAAACTCGCCTCCACAGCAAGTACGCCCTCACGCGCCCGCTCTCCGGCTTCTAAAGGAGCCTGCGACCAATCAGCGCCGCCAGCGCCCTGACGTAAACCGGCAGAGGGAGGGGCCGTAAAGTGGATGAAGAGGCGGTTGGTGTTCTCCCTCCCCCCCTCCCCGAACCTCCTTGTTCCTCAATATGAGGCAAATATATGTCGTTAGGGCGAGGGAAAAAGAGGGGGGAATCGCCTCCAAATCACCGAAACTGTGATGGTTATGAGGAGATTTCTGACAGATGTTTAAATAAACTGCTTCACTGATCTGTCATTTTTCCTTCACATGGTATATCTGGGAAAGTGCGAAGAAACAAAACGAGACAACATGTGGCACCTTAAAGACCATTATATTGTAATACAATGCATTATATTTTCGACATCCACTTTCTCAGACATGGAAACAGAATGAAATGTTGAATGAAATATAAGTTTCCTACTAAATATTGGTTGGCTCTTGGATCTTGAAATGAGGAGACAAATCAGGGAGGTGCCCAAGAGAGACAGGATGTAATCATGGGGGACTTCACCGATCCCCACATTGGCTGGGCCAATGGGTGCTCAGGTCGAGAAAGAGAGACTGGCTTTCGCTTTCTTGACATGCTAAATGACTGTGCCTTGGAGTAACTTGTCGTGGAGCGCACCTGAGGACAGGTGACTCTGGATTTAATTATTGTGTGGTACTCAGGGCCTAGTTAGGGACCTGAATGTCCCTAACTATTCTAAGGAATAGTGACCATGCTGCAGTCTTTTTTCCCATGCATGTTGGGGGAAGAGTGTCAAGCAAATCTGACACAAAACCCCTAGATTTCTGAAGGGCAGACATCCCTTAGATGAGGAAACTAGTTAGAAAGAAATTGAAAGGGAAGGTAAAAAGAATCCAATCTCTCCAAGAGTGTATGGAGCCTGTTTAAAACAATGGTAGTAGAGGCCCAGCAGAGGTATATACCACAAAGAAAGAAGGGCTCAACTCACCCTAACAATTTAAACAGCCCTATCAGGGTGAAGGGAAAATTCCTTCTACATCTCCACAACAAAGTATAGTATTTTTCTTCGTAGTACAGTGGTGCCTTGACTTACGAACGTCCTAACATACTACCATTTCGAGTTACGACCAGCTCCGGCTGCAAAATTTTGCTTCCACTTGAGACCGGAGCTTTGAGTTACAACCAGAAAATGGCAGGGGAAAAAGGCAGGAAATTCAAATTGCTAACCGTTTGTAGACGAAGAGGCTGCTTCTTTGTAGCTCTTTCGCCTCAGCAGTTAGCAAGTGTGGGATCGGAGGAGGCTTTGGACTGCATGGTAAGGTGCTGCTTTCTACTTTTTAAAAACTGTTCTGAGTGGGTTTTGTAGCGTGGTTTTGTGCTGGGTGGTGGGATTATGTTTCTATGCTGTGATATGTCTTGCAGGGTTTGTTTGCTTTTTGCTTTTTTTTTGCATTTCCAAATGGTCTTGCACAGTTTTTTGCTTTTCTTTCTTTTCCCCCCTTCAGCCGGAATGGATTAATCACGTTTCCGATGGGTCTTGCAGTGTTTTTCCCCACCTTTGGTGTTTTTTCCCTTTGGCCAGAACAGATTAATTGCATTTCAGTGCATTCCTATGGGAAATGGTGCTTCGACTTACGACCATTTCGAGGTACAACAGGAGTTCCGGAACCAATTAAGTTCATAAGTTGAGGCACCAGTGTACATTGGAATAACTTCTTATAGCAATCCTATTCCTATTTGAATGTGGAGAATCTCACTACATTTGCTTATGAAACATTTGTTTGTTAAGCACTGCATTTCTATAGGGACAATTTCTGACAGAATAATATCACAACCCTTCAAGCTGAGAATGAATATAACAGCATTCAACTCTCCAGCTTGAAGTGTGCTGTGCTTTGTTTTGTGGTGCTTTGGGATCATGGCGCCCCTAATGAAGGAAGGAACTATGTGGAGTTATGCTTTATTAATTTTAACCTCATTTTTATTGAGAGGCTCTGTGGCCAGGGTGCAGTCATCCAGATGTTGCTGGACTTCAACTCCCAGAGTTCTTCACTCTAGACTAGTACTGACTAGGGCTGATAAGAATCCAACAGTATCTGGCGGGCTGCATCTTGCTCATACCATCTGTAAGGAGACAGAACAAATTAATGGGAAAAACGAATTTCCACAATTTATTTTTAAATATTGTACAGTTTGACACCTACAATGACGAGTGCACACATTGCTACTGATATTAAAGTTGTAAAGATTATACATCCTCTTCTGAAAGCCACAGCAAAGGTTCTATGGGTCCAAGACAAAAAATAGATATACAGTAATTATACCAAAACTCAGGACTGACTGTTGGCAAGACCTAGAGGAAAGTGACTGCCTCATGCAAACAAATTTACTTTTTATTTCCATTTATATGCATCATAGGAAGACAGGTCGAAGATTGAAGCTTCCACAGAAGCAGAATCAATGGGTTGTGATATTCTCACAGCAAAGCTGTTCCTTCTGAAGAAAAGGAACCATTGTGTGGGGATTGTGTATTGTGCAATGAACAAGGAATTTAGAACGGCGCACGTGGAGATTATCCTGTTTTAACCGCACACAACAAGCCTGTGAGGTAAATTATACTGTGAATTGAATAGATCAAGGTCACCCAGTGAGCCTTCCGGCTGAGCAGACATTTGCACGCATGAAGTGTCAGTCCAGGGTTATACTATGTTACAGCATATTGAACATGGGATCTCATATTTTGCATTTCCCCAGCTAACCAAGGTTTTGTTTCTTGTTTTTCAGATATTCAGAAGAAATCTTGCTTTAATATTTTTCTATATACTGTTAGCCTCAAACCACTGTCAAAATTGAAAATTCCTTCTCCATCAGAGGACACCCAGTTTAGTGTGGTGGACAGAGTGTTCGGCCAGGATCCAGGAGACCTTGGATTAAATCCTTGCTTGGTCATAAAAACTCACTGGGAGCACTGAGGAGTGGCAATGATGAACCGTTCCTTGAATATCTCACATACCTTGAAAACTTGATCAGGGTTGCCCTAAATCGGAAGCAATTTGATAGCACATAACACAAACACTCTGTTTGCTGCAGGGACTACAGCTGTAGTTGGTTTCAATGTCTTTGTTTTTAGAAACTCAGGGCTTGGTTACACTGGCAGTAAAGACTGCAGTTGAATCGGTTCTGGCAATTTTAAAATCAATTAATAAATTCCTGGCTGCACAACAAAAGGTTGAAACTGATGTTTGGGGGCTGCAAAATAATTTTTTTTTAACTGCCCATCGGGGCTTTTAAAAATACCTACGTAAGTTCTCAAACTGATTATTAATATCTTCAGGCAATGTGAATGCTCCTATCATATTAAACATTGCCTTTGTTGGTGGTTGTGGGCTTTGGACAGTAAAACTTTTTTTTATTTTTTTAACTTCAGCACTGCATCACTATACCAAAATGCCACTTAATTTTTTAAAGAGATAAATGCAGGCATTCCAAATAAAATTTAAAGAAAATTTAAACAAGATTGTTCCTCAAACAAAATGGAAAGAGTTGATTACAATGTAGCTTCCCAAACCTGTTTTAATTTCCAAAAATACATCAAAGTACGGCAATTTACATCAAAATGAATATGCCTACTGATTGATATACTGTATGTGAAAAATGTCAGGACTGGAATTGATGTACAGTGGGGTCTTGACTTGAGAACTTAATCCGTATTGGAAGGCGGTTCTCAAGTCAAAAAGTCTGTAAGTCAAGTCTCCATTGACCTACAGTGCATTGAAAACCGATTAATCCCATAACAGGCCGTTTTTGTTCCATTTTGGTTTTTTTCTGGTCTGTAAGTCAATTCTCAGGATGCAAGTCAAACCTAAATTTTGCGGCCAGAGAAGTCTGTAACTCAAAAAGTCTGTAAGTCAAGCCATCTGTAAGTTAAGGGTCCACTGTATATATTTAACAACATGCAAATATCTAAATCAAGTGCCTCAGCTACTAAGTTTGCGTCTTGTGGGTCAAGGCATACCTGAAAGATTCTTCTACAATTCGATTGTAATTCTGTTGTCTTCACTCGCAAGAAAGCAAGAGCATTAACATGAAGAAATGATGCCAAGATTATACAAGGTTAAAATGTTCCCTTGGCATTGACAAGAACTGTATGGGAGTAAACATTTAAATTCTTCTGAGATAGGCAGAAGCTAAAACATTGATTTAGCAATGCTAATCTTGTTAAAGAAAGCAATAAAATAAATATCACAAACCAATGACACATTAAAAAGCGTACAAGTTTAAACATCTTGAACTCCATTGGATATGCTCAAGGACTGATTAATTTATTTTAAAAAGCAGGAAAAAAATTCTGACACACATTCTGGCATTACTTTTTTATACCAATATTGTTTTAAAATACTGTACTAAACAGCAGTTTTTACTAAAAAAACTTTCCATAAACGAGGGAAGATAGTAACCTAAAAGAAAAAAATAGGATGCCGGAAAAAAAGCAGCACAACATTAATAGCCTGTATTTTGTTCTCAGTGAATACTTAGCATTATTAAAACTATGCCTTGCCACATACACAATCTAAAACAAACTTATACTGTATTTGCTTAAGTATACATTACACTATGATCTTGCCTCTGCAGGGAGTGGCTGCATCTTTAAAGCTTTATCGAGGAAAAACATTCACAAAGTAAATGACTTTTGTTTCACTGAAGTGCCAGCTCTAACCTTGAGGTGGTAGCTGAAAGAGTAACCTTTCCTAAAATTACATAGACTTTTTTCATTGTTTAATTTGTAATGCCTGGTGCCCTACTCTTGTTTTAGGCTATCTGAAATTCCTCCAAAAGAAAGACTGAAAGTTTGTCCCTGATATGTCTGGGAAATCAATGCTTATGTAATTTGCGTCTGGAATTTTTATACTCTGATAATTAGCTTCTTCATCAATGACTTTTATTGATTTTACAACAAGCATTTATAGCCGAATCTTTGAAGCTTTCTTTCTTTCTTTCTTTCTTT